GCGCTGCGGCTCTCGCACCAGGCCGGGAACGGGAAGGCGGTCGCCTACACCTACAGCATGGTAAGGCGGCGCGGGGCCCCGCGGGCGGGAAGCAGCTTTGGGGCGCTTCAGCGCTGTCCTTCTCTTCCAGATGGCGAACGTGGCCCTCATGCAGGGACAGCTGGACAACGTGAGTAACTCCTCTTGCTTTCTCTCCTCCACCGTCAGAGTTTTCGGGGGCTGACACCCTCGTCCAGTTCTTGCCCGAGACCTCAGAGGTTTGCCTTCGCCCTGCATGCCATGCCTGCCTCATATGGAGCCTTGTGAGGCAGAAATCTCGCAGCCTGAAGCAAAACACGCTGCTTTGGGGCAGGAATCCCAAGAAAAACGGTGACCAGTTGCCAGTTTTTGCGGTTGGGTTGTGAGCCCCAGCGTGGTAAGCAAGGGAAGGAGTGCGTCTTGCTGTCAGATGCCACAGTCGAGCACTTAGAGAACTGGCACAAGGACAGCCTAGCAAACACTGAAAAGACACAGATGTGGTAAACTCGCAGCTGAGGTAGGAGTCCTAAACTAGAAATAGAAAGGAGCCTGCTGGCTGGCCCTAGCACTGGGCTCTGGCTAATATTTCAGTTCTGATTGCAAGCTGGGCCTTGATAAACAAGGCAAACACCACAAACCATGTCAAACAGGTTTCCCACAGCAGTCTGCCTCTGTAAAGGGTAGAGAGCCTTTCTTCTAAGTGCCACCATGCCTCAATGTTCTCTTTAAACTTCTCTTATTTCAGGCAGAAAAGCTCTACAAAGCAACTATGAGCTATATGCTTGCTGGGGACACCAAGGAGGTATGTTGCTCTGATAGAGGCTTGCAGCTGGAAGTGTTAACAGTGTGGTGCATCGTTCTGTGGTCTGTTTCTTGTTTAGGAAAGACGATGCTTACACGCACTTCCACAAGTTGTGGTTCTTGCCTTGTGCCATATAATACCTCCTACTGGAAAGTGGCAGTATGGTAATGAGCTTGCCTACTTTTCAGAAACTTGATTTAATGGATGGCAGCTCTGAAGACAACAGAATGGGCATTTCAAAATCTAAACTTGGTCCCTAACAAACTAATGGATCTATTGTGCAGATGCAAGAAGAATAACAGTTACGTTGTGTCTTCTCCCTTTGTAGGATGACAATGCAATCCTTGAGATGTCCCTCAAGTTGGCCAGTATCTATGCTGCTCAGAAAGAGTGAGTTCCCTACTAAAGGCATCTTTAATCTCAGCTTTGCAGTGGTAGTCAAGCAGAAGCTCCTCCTTTGAGGAAGAGGGTGCCCAAGGAAGCTTAGATTTGGCAAGGTATCATGAACATGATGCCACAGGCATGATCTTTTTCTGCTCTTGTCACATAGCACAGTGACTGTTGTTACTACCAGCCCAGCTCAAGGCAGCAGTAGCTATAGAGGACAGAGCTCTCTAGCCTTAAATTCACACCTCACAAGACGTGCATTCCGGAGTGAAGCTTGTGAATGCAGTTGGTGTGTGGCCTGTGCTGGAAAGATAACCTCGTTTTTACAAGGGAGAGAGCGCTGCTGGTATGGGTGGTCTTAGCAGGGTTCTCTCCACCTCTTAGATCCCTTTGCCCTTGGTCAGGAGTAGGTCCAGGCCATGATCAAGGAGGGAGCATTGAAGGAAAAGGGTTGTCTTATAGGCCATGTAGGATGAGGAAACAAAGGTCCTAACATCTCTCTGTTCAGGGATGGAGGGAGCCTTGCTTTGCTAAGTCATTGCACTTTGCAGGCACAAATTAGCCCTGGCTGGCTATCAGTTCTGCATCCTGACCTTAGAGGAGAAGATTGCCAAACAAAAGGACTTGCCTGAGGATGTCTTATCAGGTGGGCCTTCCTTGAGCGCTTGAGGGTGGTGCTGTCTTGCTTGCCAAAAACTTACCGTCTTTCCTCTGTTTTTGTGTCCTTGCTGTTGCTTTCCATGTTGCCTAAGCACCATCCTCCTGTCAATCCACAGTCTTCACACTGCATGAATTTCCTGTGCACGTAGGATGTAGACTTGTGCTTGATCTTGTAGAAGTGTTCACTTTCTTTTCTTCTTATTCACAGCTGAAGAAAAAGCCAACACCCGTCTCTTGCTGGGGATGAGCCTAGACGGCTATGCTCGCTATCTCCTAAGCATTAACCAGCTCCCAGTGGCCCAAAAAATGTACGAGAAGGCTCTGCAGATATCAAGTGATGTTCAGGGAGAGACTCATCCACAGGTGAAGTGTAGAGCAGTAGCGGCAGGCACTCGTAGGAAAAGAAAGGCTAACTGATCTCATAGGAAACTAAGGTAGCATTAAAAGCCACTTTGATGGCACTGAACATATATGCAGTACTAAATTAGGTTGTCTTCCTGCTGGGAAGAAAGAGCATGTAGGATGCTGATCTAAAAGTCACTTTCTTTCTTGCCTGAAGCTTCTTTGGAAAGACTACTTTTACTAGTGTGACAGTGGTATAAGTGTAGTGCTCCCATTACCCCAGGGTTTAATGAATCCTGCTCTGAAGCCTCCTGTTCTGTCCTGCTGCAGACTGTGGTCCTGATGAATGACTTGGCAACTGTGCTGGATGCTCAGGGGCACTATGATGAGGCATACTCCTACGTGAAGAGGGCAGCTGATCTGGCAAAGGAGACACAGCACCCTGAGGAGCACATGGTGCTGAATAACCTGGCAGCAATTCTGATGCACAAAGGTAACTGAACATCCAGCCCAATGCATTGTGTATGTGCTGACTGCAAGATTGCTGTATCACAGACTTGAATTCTAGAGTTGTGTTTTTGCTGTTACTCTTTTTAGTTGAAGCAGCAGGTCTACAGACCTGGTCTTGGCAAAGTGTTATATTTAAACTGAATTCAGCTGCTGAAGGATCCTTTGCAGTGTAAGTGCAGTACTGGTGCATCTGACTCAGCCAGAAGGTTGCCAGGAGATCTAGTTTCCCTTGTCCTGTACCAGAGGACTATATACCCAGTAGCCGGTTCCAAAAGGACTGGGTATATTGCCTGAGACTCGTTTGTTTCCATGATCTTAATGCTGAAGCAGCACCTTGTCCTGTCACTACAGCTGCTGTCTAGCTTTCATAGTTGACATCCTGTGCTGAATGTTTTCTGAACTTCCCTACTTCCTGAAGTGTTCCAGGATTCCTTTGTGTGATCAGCTTCAGGGGCGTACTCTGAAAGATGATGTAACTGGCTAGCCATGTACCTTTCCTCTTGCTACAGAAGACTTTCTGCAAGCAAAGCAAGTGTATAAAGAAGCTCTCAAGCAGGCAGAACAGAAGGGAGATGTTGCTTCTGTCCAGCACATCCAGGAAGAACTAGCTGAGCTGGCCAAGAGGAGAAAGGGCTCCAAATGAATTTGGCCAAAGAATCCAAGCTTGAGGTGGCTGACAGCAGCAAGGGTGGGTCAGTACCAGCAGGCTGGGACAAGTTTGGTGCAATTCTCAGGGGAAGCAGCAGTGAGGAACTTATGGACTACTTAACACGAAATGCTGCTACTGCCTACCTATTTAGCCCAAAATAAAATTGAGAAATCTTAACTGTATGTGAATTTAAAGTTGTGGTGTAGTCTATGGTTAAAGTGACCCTCTGTGCTAGTGCGTAAACTTAAGTCTTGACTGCCAGCACAGTGGACCTGTGGAACTTGCCTGCTGTTAATACTTGCAGCAAGGCTTTCATTTGCTACTCCTGACTGTTCACAGAACTATTCAGTTTCAAAACTATAAAGCCAAATCTTAAAGTCAGTGATACCTAATGGTAGGATGTACCTTTTTTAAGTTTCAGATTAAGAAACATGGATCCAAATTAAGCTGGGAATTGTGTAACTCTTTGTGGTGTCTGGTATAACAGGGCCTGCTCTGTCAGAAATGAAAGTTACCTTACCCCAGCCAGAGCATACTAAATGCCAAAGCTTTCCTCCTTTCTTGGATAGGTCACCATCTGCCATTGCTAGAATGCTGAGGCTTCCTGCTGGAAAAGATGGTATGTCATAAACTGTCAGTAAGGTATATGCCTTCACCTGAAGGTATTATGAACAGCCTGCTTATAGAACAGAACCTTTCAGTTTTGCCCTGCAGGGAAGTGTAATGTTAAGGACAAAGGGTAATTGAACCAGAAGTTATCAAATCTATCACTAAGCAAGCATCATTTTATCCTCTCATTTGAAAGAGGGCTTCAGCTGTTTGATATGACCCTAATGCTCATTGCATCACCATTAAGTTTACTTACAGTGGCATTAGCAGCTTCAGCTTTGCTCAATGGTGAGCTAAAGAGAGGTGGCTGTAGGTTTTCTAGAGTCAATGTTCACTGAAGCTGAAAACTCACATCTTGATCTGTCCTCTGCAAGCTAGGAGGAAGTAAAATATGGCTGTTAACAGGCAACTTGTACTGACAGGAAGGCCCTAATACATTACAGCCAAGCCTTTCTAAAGGGTGTGGGGTTTCTTGTTTAAGTGGCAGACCATAGATATTCCAGTACTGGGAACCCTGCAGCACCCCCTAAGGGGAAGCATTGTCCTTGTTCTCATGAACATAGCTTGATGCTGCAAAACAAGAGGGAGACACAGGAAAAGCAAATGGAGAACTGATCCCCTTTATTGATTGGTCTGAATCCAGAAGTCACTGTCTACTGAAGACATTGTGTAGAAAAAAAAACTTGAGTTACGATGCATGGGTTTTTCAAGTCTTAAATGATTTCATATCAGAATCACAAAACATAAAGATGAAAGCATTGTGAAAGTGCTGATCAGAAATCAGTTAAAAATTTGTAGTAAACTACAGTTTGTAAACATGACTTACGAACACCTTCCTGTTTGAAACAGGTCAGATGTAATTCCATCTTTGAAGGCTACTGGAATTGTGATAAACCTTAGGCTCTGGAGAGGCTTTTGCATTGGAAAAGTTAGAACATGGATCACAAACAAGAAAAGCAACACTATCTTAGGCGCAAATGCCATTCAAGCTGTGGTTTAGGGGAAGTAACTATCCTACTTTGGATACCTTGCTGCTGCAGCAGCAATGAAATGAACATGCTCTGCTTACTGTACAGTTAGCAAAGACTTTTGCCTGTACATACCTCTTTCATGTTGTAGTTGTTATATGAAGAAAGTGAGAACAAGTGAGTTTTAGAATGGAATTCAGCTCTTCCCTACAAATTGAAATACAAAAAAAAAGGGGGGGGGGGCAGAAGAATTTGTTTTTTGTTTTCCAGTATATGTTGCTGGGGGGAGGGGGATTTAAATAAGAGCACAGGTCTACAAATAGGATGAAGAATTCACTGTTCTTAGCCAGAAGTGTTAAAGAAGCAGAGGGCAAGAAAGTCTTTCTTTGAGAAAGATTGCAAGGAGATTGCCAACTAAGATTGTGAGGAAGCTGCCAGCTAACCTACTCTGCTGTATTTAAAAAAAGTAGCAAAATAATGCTGTATTTGCAACACACTATCACATTTCCAAATGAGCTTTCTTGCAACAACTTCTCCCCCACAGGATCTTTTTTCTGAAATACTCAAGGTAAATTTGCTATTGATAAATAACTCTCTACTTCTTCCTGTTTGTAATTAGACCATTACAGTCCTTCCATAAGATGTAGCACTTACAGACTCAAGGTTACACAGCTACGCTATTTTACCTTCCACATAATGAATTGCAAATACAGTGATAAGTATGAAATACTTTGACTGACACATAACTTCCCAAGGCAAAGACTGTGCTCAATGAGATGCAAAAGTAGTTTGGTATCTCTCAAGGCCCCCTCCCCAGCCCCTGTCAGTGCTATCTGTAAATCAGTACTTCTACCCCGGAGGATTTAAATTCACTTTCCTGAGGACAACGCAGCAAAAAATAAGATGCTTTTGAAGATGGATGTCAAAAATACCTGGTGATATCGCTAATCAGATGCATGTATACATGAGCTATAAGCATATCATAGCAGGCATTGATAGATGAATGATTAGAGACACTCTTGTCTAGTACCATATACAATAAAAAAAGTTATTACCCTTACACATATTGCACACTTCAGGAGTTAAAGCCAAGCACTTGTATGGACTTCCACCAAAAACTTGCTTATAGGGATGGGTATTGAGAGGGGGACACATACTTCAAAATAATTTTTTACATGAAGTCTTTAAAATCAGACTGAAGGAAGGTAAAAATCACAGTACCTATTTCAAACTAGTTGTAAGAGAAGCCAAGTAGTTGACTCATATGTTGTTCAATTATTCTATAAAAGCATTTTGTTTTATTTAAACTCAGGATGTAGAGATTTTTCTTCTTAAAGGATTTATCAACCCACCCAGAGCCTCTGTTCAGATAAGCCATTTGCTGTGGTTAAATATGACAGTAGAATTTAGTAGCCTGTTTCAACTGCATACAATGCAGAAACAGAAAACACTAAGTCTTTTGGGGCACAGTTAAAATTCCCAGTGTGCATAACAGTGAGGTATGCCTCCAGAAGCTGTTACTTTTTTTTTTTTATCCTTTTTAAAATGAACCATAACATACCCATGCAATAATATTTCTGCAGTGTTGCTAAATAAAACCAACTGCACTGAAAATTTACAATGTGGCAGAATTTAAAATTCAAAGAAATATACCATCTTATTCCAGCAAACTGGACTATGTTAATGTACAGAATTCATTAAGGGGTCAGTCTTTAAAAAAAAAATCAACATTTTCACAAGAGCTTGTACACCACTGAGAAAATGTGTCTAGGGAAAAAAATTATATAAAAGCACAATGCCTGCAAGAAGTGGCATGGCATTAAATAGGAAATGAACTAGGCTGGTTGGGAGGCTAGAGTTATGGTTAGGTTAGACTAGGCTGGGCTGGTACAGGGGCTAGGGTTATGAAGAGTACTCTACACTGGAGAAAATGCTTAAAAAAAAAATTACAAAACGACCCCCAAAGTTTAGGCAATGATTTGAACATAAGTACACCAGATACTATAGCAAGGGAAAAAACACTGCAAAAAGTACTCTCTATTTACAGAAGAATGATTTAAAGACATTATGGTTTTCTTTACAAATAGATGTAGAACAGGAATAGTCCACATTTTTAAAAACTCTTTACATATTTATCTTTAGCAAGTCAACCTCCTCGATCAAAATCCTCCAACACACAGCCTGTGCAGAAGACATTTAACGGACTCTCCATTAATTCTTCATTGTGTGGCCCTTGCTCTCTTGGAAAGTCTCTCTGGGCACAAGTCAAAAATAGATTTTTTTTTTTTTGACCCGCAAATTAAAAAAAATCTGCATAGTTCAGTCATCACTGTCAGACAGAGTCTCGTATTGTGCTGAAAGCAGTGGTGCAGGTTCTCGCTCCCATATCCTGTTCTGTTGGTGAGTGGTTGCTTGGCTCATGGACGGTGGGGCACATGCAATCGATGTTGGCGGCGTACTGCTCAACATCCGCATCGTCAACGGGTTGTAAGGAAACTGTGTTGACCCTGAATTAAAGAGAGTTTCTCCACGTCAAAAACATGAGCCATTCTAATGGGTTATAAGAGATCTGTATGTTAAACCAATAATAAACCCCAAACGGTCTCCTGTGCTTGTGACATCTAGCAGAAAACATCTGTTTCAGAAAAATCCTTATATCGCAGATCTAGTTGCTGTGATCTTTTGACCCATGTAGCAGTGTTACGTCCACATCTGACCTTTCAGCAAATATCCCAGGCAGTTGGTTAGTTTGAATGAAATCCCCCCATTTCTCACCTGTTGATGAGGGCCTATCTTCCCAGGCCCACACTGGAGTCTGTCTGTGATAGTCTCCTTCTGAATGTACAGAGGAGACAGAGGAAGGTCTTTCAGTTCCTAAATATCCCTGTCCAGGAATTGGAGACTTAGACTTTCTACTATTTGACTTGCCAATTAGCTTCTGCTTGCTGACTCCCCCTCCTGGAAATAGAAGGGACAGATTTTCCAAAGAGGTTACACTGAACTTCAGCCTCTGTATGTATTTATAAACTATCACTTAGTAGCAAACAGGAGTTTTACATTGATGCCTTCTGGAATGCTGATTCACTACAATTAATGATTGTAGAGGTTAGTCTTCTAAACACACTTGCTAGCAAATCCCTATTTTTACCATGATGGAGTATATTTCCCTTTTTATGAAGGGGGCTGTTTTCAGTTCAAGTTAGTTACCACTGTCACATGTTCCTTATAGGTAAAGTAACATACATACATCTGGGAAGTCGCAGGTATCTGCTACACCCCTTATCTCTTCCCCATTCCATGAGGACTGTCATTCTCCAAGAAATATTGGCTAATGCTCCTGAAGTCACCAGCACCATTTTGAAAGCTAGGACCACCAGAGGGAATGGAAACACCATTTCTATCACTTCCAGAAGGCAGAAACTTTCTTCCAGTGACACTGAATTTATTAATACCCTTGATTTATTTTTGTTCAAGACCATGAAATATTTAGGAGCTGCAATACCTCACCTGAATTTGGTGATGGATTAGCTTCTTCCCTCCGTGTCTCGTTATTTGCTGATACTGCAGCGCTGGAACTGCCAGGTGCTACTCCAATAGACTGTGGCATTACGACTCCATGATCCTCACTCTTGTCGTCAAAGTTTCCCATCAATGCTTTCCTAATAATGTCTTCCAGACCCAGATTACTGGCAGGATCTGCAAAGGAATGACCCCTAGAACTGACTGCACCTGGGAGATAAAAGAAAACATACAAGGAAAGGTGGGAGGGGAGGCAAAAAACACATCTCAGAAATTACAAAGGGATATGGGAGAAGGTTTTAGAGAGGCAGAAGGATGGAAGAAAAACAAATATGACTTTTTTTAAAATGCAAAGCTACATGCTCCAAAGCAGCTCACAACAGCTGTAAGTTAGACATGCCAGCAAATACTGAAGAGCTACAGCAGTAGTGCCACTAAATGTCAGACTATTTGCAAGAGGGTATGTTTTACCTGTTTAAAAAAAGGGTGGGAGGGGCAAAAAAAGGGCAAAGGAAGCTGAGCATGCTGATTGTGATAGTATATTAAGTAAAATCTGCAGCTATTCCTCAGTTGTAAGAGATGAGACTAAAAGAATATTTCTTATATTAATGGAATAGTGTCCTTTTTTTTTTTTTTTTTTTAAATAAAGCATAATATGTGGCAAATACTTATTCCAAAAGCTTGACCTTCCATCTAAATCGACAGAAATCAGTACTTTCTCCATTTAAAAGACAACAGCACTATATCAACAGCACTATATTTTGGCCGTGACTAGCCAAAATTGTGTAAAGGTTAAAAAAAATTGTGGTACTATTCGGATTTAGTAGTTCTTAACTCCCATACTTCGGTTCAATTTTCTGCCTCACTTGCCTCTTTAGCATAGTAACGTATGGCTTACATTCAATTTTCTCCTCTCAAATGAAGTTTTTTAAAATTTATTGCAAAAAAAAAAAATCCCAATTATTTTAAATATCCCGATTTACGGGGTATACTATATTTGATGAACTAAGCTCAACTTCTGTTTAACTGCACTGTATTTAAATTCTGTTTAAGTGAGATGCTAAACAATTTCACAATTTCTGCCTCTGTGTAAGATTTGCAAAGCACACAAAAATAAGACATTCTTGCCTAAGTTCCCATTTAAATATTTTCTGGAATTTCCATTGGCCGTTTTGTTTTTCCCTATGATACAGAAAACAGTTTTCTTCATGGAGGATATTACCCTTTTAATTTGTCTTCGTCTTCATCTTCCTCATTTACTGGACTTCCATAGCACATAAATGAAAGATACTGTATCAGTTTACCTTCTCTGAAACTTACATGATTTCTTTTACTGAAAAACTTACCTGAGGTAGTGACTGCTGGCAAATTGAATATTTCAGTTCCTGGCTGAGCAGTTGCTGCAATGAAAGCACAACATGTAAATGAGTTTCCCAGTACTGAAGATCACTACAAGAGTTCTAATGCATATGGTATAATCACTTTGACCTATTTCAATGTTCTGTTTTGACTTTCCCAGCGTTTGAAGATGAATGTGTGTCTAAGTCTTCTCAGGAAAATGAAGCTGTACTTGGGTATAAGAAGTATCTTACGTAGTTATGGCTAGCCTTCCTTTGAAGATGTTACTTCAGGAAGCAGACTGACTTTTTGAGTGTTTTGTGAAAACTCAAAATCTTCTATGTAAATTTAAAATGCACAGCTGCATTTGGCTAACATATTTTAATGTATGAAACTTGTAGACTGAGTATTTGTATGTATTCAAAAATTCAGTGACAACTCTGGAATGGCTACAAAAACCCACCGCCCATATTTTGTCCAAAACAATTTGAGAATAAAAGATTTTCAACCATAACAGTGAATTCGATACATAAATGAAAAGATTACTGGTAACAATGGAAAATGTGTTTGCGTGCCAAACACACATACGCTCAGAGGAAAATCTATCACACACACAATTCAGACCCAATAAAACCGATACTGCAACCCTTATCGATGTAGCCGTGTTCTCTCAGAATTAGACATGACTCTGATGTGCAGAAATAAAATGCCAGTGACTCAGCCCAGTCACATTACTAGAAAATTTGTGAGGTAGACATCCAGACCAATGTAAACGCACTCATTTTGTCAATAAGACAGAGCAGCATACAGAATACACTTCACTAAGGTGAATTAAAATTCTGTGAAATTAACTTGCTGCTTAATGCAAGAGCATTCACTTTCAAAGAAATACTTTAGATTAGGTATCGAGGTCACAAATGGCTTAAACTCTTGCTACCCATAATCTTGCTGCAAATTTATGTTGAACTTTCGTAAGGGGAAAAACAAAAAATATAATTCTAGTATCATATTCCACCATGTCAGTGTCCATTACTGAAACTATAATGAAGTATTCAAGATAGGTCATTTCAACAGCTATAAACATAAGGGTCAAAAAATACAAAGCCTTAAGTTTGCAAGACACTTTTCCAAAAAGAAAATATGCAGTAGTTAATATTGACATGAAGCAAACTAGAGGCGCAAAGCAACTGAATAATGTCAGGTTTCAACAAGTATCTAATATTTATTATGTGCTTTTTCCATAGTTTTCAGAAGCCATTTCCATCTCTCAAATTAAAGGTTAAAAAGCTTACGTTTGACAAAGTCCTATACAGACCAGCATAAAATAGTCTAACAATCTTCCAGTTGATCAGTTATAAATATGTTTTTACATTCATACATTTATGTTCATTATTATGTTATTTGAAACATACTTAAGTTAGGACATTTGCGAATGGCAGTTGCATAAAGCTCAAGTTGGAAAAATACAGTGAAAAGGCAAGTTCTGCATACCCATGTCAGAGTCACCTCCACCAGATGAGTTCAGCTTTCGAAATATCTCCTGTTTCTTGGATTTCACCATTGGTGAAGTGTTCTCAAGTTTGGTGAAAAACGAAGGCAGATAGCTTATACTACCCGGGGAGCGAGAGTCAGTCCTGCCAAGACCAACACGTGTCAGAAGAGAGAGAACATTTTTCAAGGTATACGTTTCAATCTTTCTAAAAGCAGTCAGGCAGAAACAGCCAGCTTTCATATACTTTTAAGGCTATTTTTCCCCTCAGCCTGTTGCTTGGGGACTAGATCAATATAATGACTCTCTAGGGACATCTGCTTTATCCAGGAAATGGATAAAGACACGATAGCTCACAGAAAAAGTGACAATGTTATAGTCTGTGCTGAGGAACGGTACAGAGCCAGTGCTCACATGAATCACCTCTGGCATCTCTGTTTCTGCCCTGCAACATGCATGCTAGATCAAATTTTCACTGAAAATTAGTATGTCATTAAACGTTTAAGCTAAAAGCCCAAACACTCATCCTGGCTGCTCCCACCTCCCTACAAATTTCCAACTCTTTTAATCCTCTTTTCACTTTTGTCC